GTCCATCGTGAGGGATGCAGGTTGAGATGCTCTTTGTTAACCCCAATGGCCGGGCAACGCCTTGCTTTAAAATCCAACTAAATATTGGATATATTGGTGCGGTTCTGGCTTTGTTTCGTGGCTGCGGGCGAAGGGGTGATGTTCCTGGGGGGGACAGAGGCAGAGCAGTCGTGATGCTCTCTGTCTGGGACAGCAGAGCTCAACAACTTCCCAAGTCTCTTTTGCAGATTTTTAGGAGCATCAACGTGATCATAACAAGGCATCTGGAATTTTTTTTTTTTTTTTCAACAGCAGATTAGTAGGGAAGCGAACTTAAGAAGCTTTCCATAAAAGATACCAAAAAAGGGCAAAGTATTATTCAGATACCTCTTTCTAAATTATTATTATTTTTTTTTTTAAAAAAAGACCTATTTGTGTGATGCCCTTTTGTGGTCCCACGGTGCGGGGACAGCGCAGTGCCACGTTCTGTGGGGTTTTGTCCCTGTGTCCGTGGAAGGACGCTGGGTCCTGCGGAGGCAGCTCCGGGCAGGGAGCACCGCGCGTGGGGCCTGGAGCCAGCCCTGGGGGTGCTGCGTGACAAACAGGGCCATGTTTTGGCTTCAGGAAGTGAAGAGAGATACGGTTGCTGACGTGCTGCTGCCTTTTTCAGGGTCTTTCAGACTTTTTTTTTTTTTTAACACTTCAATTTGTTTAGAACCTGTCTTTGAATGCTAGGTCTAATTCAACAGGGTTGGTTTTTTGGCAGGGGATAAAGTGATAAACCTTTCCTTCCAAAAGGAAGGGTTTAGTGAGGGTGATGCAGGTGGCAGTTCTGATGTGGGCTTTCTCCATGCCCATCCGTGGAGTCGACATACTTCCAGTAGTGAAGAAAAAGAACAATTTATATCAACTTTAAACCTTTGTTCTGTTTTATTTCCCGTGTTATCAGGCTCCAGCTGCAGCAGCTTCCCCCCGTGCTCGCTCATGGCTCTGGCTTTGGGGGCTGGATGGGGACACCCCTCCTGGATGGAGGGTCAGGGACCCTCGTGCCTCTTGGGCAGCGGAAGGGTTCTGCTTTCCACCGTTTTCTCTGGATTTCAGCCCAGAGAGTAGGGTCAGGAGGAAAGGGAACAATCGCCGCTCTGTTCCAGTTCGCAGGCTGGTGGATGTTGGTGCCTCGTGGGCTGGACTGGAGGGAGTTTAGCGGGTGTCCTAAGGCAGCAGAAATCTTGGAAGGGGGAGAGGAGCTGGTGTTTCATGTGTCGTCATCGTGGTGGCCGGTGGAGGCTTTGTCTGGCAGGTCCCAGCTCCTGATGATGCTCAGGAGCTGCAGGTGGGAGCCAGAGCAGCCGTGCCAGTGCCCAGAGCCCATCCATCCCCACCAGGCACACAGCATGGGACACCAACCATCTCTTCCACACGGCCAGTGGGTGCTTAATGCCCCTCCATCCCACCTCAGGCTCTTGGGGGGACTCCCCAAGGTGCTGCTTTAACGCAGAAGAGGGTCCTCAGGTGGAGGTTGGGGTTGGTTTGCCCTCACAGCCTCACCAGGCAAACCAGGGGTATTTTTAAATTTTAAGTTTGCACCTTTCTGATGGGGTAGCTCTGCAGCCCTCACAGCAGCGAGCTCCCAACGAGCTTCTCATCTTCAATGGCAGCAGCAGCAGCTTAAAACACCCTGATGTGTGTGAGAAGGTCTGATCTCGCTGCCTTCAGCCCGTCAGGGCGACCGCTCCCGCTGTTCGGATGGGAGAGAGGTTTGAAGAGCAAACAGATGACTCTTCCTAATTGTGATTTATATTGTTTCCTGTGAAGCTGTCCCCCTGGCAGGGGAAACACGGGAGAGCCACAACAGGAACAAGCAAACATCCCGCGCTTCCTGGTGACTGTGAGGACTCTGCCGGCTTGAAATGCATCACGGCCTCGGTCTGTCGCTAACTGGCTTTTATCTGGGGTGTTTTTTACTGTTAATGATTAGACATGAAACAGTTCCCTCTGGAAACGAGCTCTTGCCCTCGCAGAGCTTTGCAGCATCTGGTTCGGTGCCGTTGCCATGAAAACAGGCGAGCACCCGCAGCAGCCCCGGTATCGCCCTTCCAGCGCCAGCCGGGGTCACCCGGGGGGTTTTTATGGCTCCTTAAAGGAAACCCAAGCTTGCGAAAGCTTTACGTAAAATAATAACATTCATATTCTCCGTTCCCTTTGTGCTTTCTTCCATGAAATGCTCTGGAATGGATAGGACCTTTCGCTTTTAATAGCTGGGGAGGGTTTCATCTCGGGTCCAGCCCTGGGGGGGGTTTCTCCTTGCGGGGGCGGAGGTGACTGCCTGTCACCACGAATTAAATACTCCAGCCCTCTCTGGAGCCGGGGACACAATGCAGTGTCAACAGAAATGTGCGGAGAATATTTACCCTTAAGTCAATGACAAACCTTGCCGGACGTTGGTGGAGCCAGGGTTTGGTTTTATCAGAGGTGTTTTCAAAGGTGTAAATTAAACCCTGTGAAGGTTGCTGAAGAAAGGTTTATTAGTAAATCACGGCTCTGTAATTAGGTCCCGGGCACACATGCCCCCCGAGTTCTGTTCTGTATGTTGTGTTTTAAAAAAAGCCAAAACCAAAAAAAAAAAACCAAACCAAAACCCCTGTTGGGGTTTAAAATTTGCGTGGCTGCGTGTGAGGGTGTCGCTGGGGCTGTGACAGGGATGAGGGTTTGGGGTCTGTGTGTGGCCACTATCAAAACCCCTGTTGGGGTTTAAAATTTGCGTGGCTGCGTGTGAGGGTGTCGCTGGGGCTGTGACAGGGATGAGGGTTTGGGGTCTGTGTGTGGCCACTTCTGTGTCCCATCATCATCACTCGGGGTGTTGGTGGGGCCCGAGCTCCTTGGGTCCTGCCTGGGGAACCCGGACCTAAGATTTCCCCGGTTTTCTTCTGCTTCTTGTGTGATGGCTCCAAATTCCGCATTTTCTTGTGCAGATTTCATTATCTGCCGCTTGACAAAGGAATATAATGCAGCAATTTTCCTCACCTAAATAGTGATTCTGAATGACTGTATTTCCAGCTCCCCTTTACCTTGTACTTAATTTAAGTGTGTGGGCTTTTTAATTTGATCGTTGTGGGGAGGAACAGAAAATGAAATGCTGCAGATGTGCCTTCCCCTTCCCTTTCTTTTAGTTAAATCCGTCTCTGTCATTCCTTTTCTCCTCCACTTCCATGAGCTGCTCCAGCTATTTTTCTCTAGTTTCTTTTGTTGTAGCTTCTCCATCGCAGCCTTTAGAAATCTCTAATGCACTATGTGACTGCTTGCCCTGCCTTCCCGGCAGCGTTGTTGTCAGAGTATGACAAACCCCATGTGATTGACGGCTGACTAAGCATTGGGAATATTTCTTCGTTCTTTGTCTGCCTAATGAGATTTTTTTTTATTATTATTATTATTTATTTATTTTTTTGGTCCTGGTGCGTAGGGCGGGTGGGCTCCAGCTCTCGTGCCGATGGAGCCATCTTCAGACTGGGATAGGAAATTGCATTTACTGCAGGCAGGACCCGACCTTAACGCTGGTCCTGACCCTCCCAGAGTCCCCGAGTCCCCCTGACGTGTCCCTGGTACTTGGGGGGTGACTGGGGAGAGCCCTGCCATGGCCGGGTCCAGCCTGGTTTCATGCAGGGAGAAAATAGTGCCTGTGTCTGTCGGGGTAAAAAGGGGTTTTGTAGCCATATGGCTCCTGCCTCTGCCTTCAGTACATCACACAAAAAAAAAAAAAGGGGTGAGGGGCTTCAGCTGGTTGGATCAAAGCCTGGCGCTCAGGGTGGCAGGGATTCCCTGCAGGAACGTTTTAATTGCTGAAAACTCTCTGTTTTCCTTTTCCAGGAGAGCTGTCCCTGTTCGAGCCAGAGCTCGAGGTGCCTTTGTGCTGAAGAAGGGGGTGTGAAGGCTCTGCCCAGGTACGTTTCTGCAGCAGGACACCACACAGCCCCCCCCTCCCCAGACCCTCTCTCCTGCCTCACAGTTAATTTTCCACACCTTGCTATCCTTGATTACCCAAACCAGGGATATCTGAGGAGGTGAGCAGTGTCACTGTGCTGGCAGCACGCTCAGAGTCCCCTCAGAGACACTTTGACCGAGGTAAGTGTCCAAAATTACCCCAAGGTCTGGCTGTTGCCTGTGGGTTGAAATGCTTATTCTGAATTACATTCTTTTTCTGGGATGACTGTTACCGTATCACAGTATCACTGCTTTTCCAACGTTACCACATTCCCCTGGCAGACACAGTCCCTCTCCACCCTGCGTCACCCACCAGACAATCCCGGGTCAAAAGACTGAAGTTTGGATGGGATGATATAGAGGTACCTTCAAGGTTATTAGTTAAAACCCACCTACCTTAAGAGCAGCTCTTCCAAGAGGCACTCACACTTCCTTCCTCGGAGCAAGACATCTGGCAGGGGAGCGTTGGCAGGGTTGCTGGGTGCCTCTGACTTGCCTTTTGGGCAGGAATTAGACGTTTAGAGATGCCAAGGGTGTGTTGGTTGGTGCTGGGCGTCCTGCGGTGGGGCTGGCTCTGGAGTCCCCAAGAGAGGGCAGTGTGTCCCTGGCAGCGGAGGAACAGCATCCTCTCCAGAAGGCTGAGAGCACAAGTCCTTGAAACCCTTTGAAATGACTAATTGACTGGCAGGCTCGTTAGCAAATGTCTTCCGAGCTGTGTCTCACCCTGTGAGTGTCGGCCCTTTCCCCAGGCTCCGGCAGGGACGCGGCAGCGCTTCCTCTTGCCTCACTTTCCTAAAAAAATGTCCCCCTCTCTGTCCCACTTGCGTCATTTTGCCCTAGTTTTTTGCACTTGGCGTCTCCTCTAAGAGGGGAACGATGTTCATGGGATCAGCTGTGAGTCAGAATCAACCGGAGACTTAATTCAAAACATAAGGAACTGGGGAGAAAAACAACAAAAACACAAAAAAAAGGGAAACTCAGGGAGGTTGTTATATTGTAATATTTTGCCTTAGGGCTCCAAACAGGCCACGCTTAGCCAGTCTCTGTCTCAAAGGCGAAGCTTTGTTGAGTAAAGAGGCAGATTTTTATTGAAGTGCAAAAGCACCCATCTCTCCTCAGCCCAGGGTGCCTTTTTTTTCCCTTTTTAAGCCGTTTCTGCAGCAGGGCCTGGGAGGGAGGAGTCGCTGCTGGGTTGGGCTTCTCTTTTTCAGGCCCCGTTTGTGAACCCCTTTCGTTTCCTTCAGCTCTGAACAACCAGCTGCCCCTCGGGGCTCTCTCACCCCAAACTCTTATTTAGGAAGCTGCTTTTTTAATGCTGACAGGTTGTTTTTCAGTTCCTAAAGTTGCCTGAAGGCACCATTATTGGTGACTTACGTCCTGCAGCAACTCTCTGCCCTGGCAATCACTGATGTAGCGAGAGCACCCTCTTTCCCAGGGTTCATTAAGGCATTTAGGTTTTTTTACTAATTGCCTGTATAAAATTGCTGGGTAGCCCCCAGAAGAGAGGGAGCTTGCGTAACGGGAAAGTACATTGAAATAACCTCCAAAGTTGCTGTGAGAGAGAGAGAACCGTATCCCTGGAGAAACATCCACGTTTCAAACTATTAACCTTGAAGCTAAATCCTTCCTCGGGATGTTCTTCTTCTTTCCCTTCTCACTTTCTGTAAGGACAGAACGAGGTGCATTTTACCCATCGGGTAGGAAAGAAGGGGAAGATCCCTTCCTGGTGGGGGGTGCTTTAGTGCCAGATTAGAAGAATTGCTGGTTTGTCATTATTTTTTTGGGGGGGAGGTAGGTGTTTTTAGTGATTCCAAGTCAAAAACCTGTTGGTGACTATTACTTTTGCTGGCCCCGTGCCCGGGCCGGCGGAGCAGCCTATGAAAATAGCTGTGCTTCACACTGTTCAGCTGCTGGGCCTAAGATTTAAAAGCAAATGCCTGCGTGTTTTACCCTGGCACTTGAAGAATGACAAACCTCAGCGTCCCATCTGTGTGTGGCTCCGGTATTTCCAGCGTAATGAATTCTCCTTTGCTGCTTCAGCGGGATCCTCTTTCACCTCCTCTTCCTGTTTCAAGCAGTTGTTGAGTTGGTGTACATTTTAAAATTCCTCCGATTTTTAGGAGGTTGTCAGCCCCATAAAAGACCTCCTTGTGTAGCTCGTTTGCCTGGCAGAGCCTCTGAGCTAATTGAATCCCCTTAAACCTGAGCATCCCTGGAGCAGAGGGCTGTATTGTCCCCACGTTCATCTGTTTGTAACAGCTGGAGGCATTTGCTAAAACTGGAAGGGATTGACTTTTTTTTTTTCTAGGAATAAACTTTTTCTATAAGCAAATAATTTTGCTATTCTTAATCTTTCCTCTAAAGGGAGGAAAAGGTGAATTTTGTGGATGAAAGCAAGTTGGAAAGTCCAGAAACCAATCCAGCCTATCTCCCGGCAAACGGAGCCTGTTGCTACGGCACATTTTTGTTCCATTAGTGTTTGTGCATTTTTAAATTCGATTTTCCAAACAGCTTCAGGAAATTGGCATCCCAGAAGTAAAAGTTTTAAAAATAGCTCTGTTGCTGCTGAAATAAGCCCTGTTATTTCCATGGAGCCCTGTCCTGAGTGCATTCCGGGCTCTCTCGACCCTCGGAAGTGTTGAACGAGATGCTGCGCAGCGGAGTTGGAACCCCAAATATTTACCAGGGATGAGTTTGTCCCGTTCCTTTAAAGAATGAACTCTGGCAAGTGGAACGCTGCTGCCTGCAAGGTTTATTTTGAACTTTTCCCGTTCCTGCAAGGTTTATTTTGAACTTTTCCCTCTTTTTGTTCAGAGGCAAAACAAGGAGTTGAGCAGGAATGTGTGGTTGTGCAGTAACTGCCCTTCTGGACCCCTGACCTGCTGGGGAAGGGGATTGTGGTGCTGGGGTCCTGTGCTGCTCCTCCTCCACCCCTGCTCCTCTGCCTTCCCTCCGTGAGCATTTCAGGCATTAAAGCCAGTTATGAATTAGTTGTTTTTGTTTTTTTTTTTTCCAGGGCTGGGTGCCTGTTGCACCTTCCCCCAGGTGAAACCTCTCGCTCCTAGATGGGCCCAAGGGGGACCCAAGCTTTTCTTGGCTCCAAGGTGTGCTGGGCCCCCTTTGGGCACAAAGCTGGGGTGCTGGGCCCCCTTTGGGCTCGTGGCTGGGGGCCAGGCCCCCTTTGGGCTGGTGGCCAGGGTCCTGGGCTGCTCTCTGTCCCCCAGCACCGCTTCCCACGGCTCTCCTTGCACGCCCCAAAGGCTCCCAGCCTCACAGGAGCAGCTGCTGCCCAGACTTTCCCTTTAAAGTGACTTAAAGCCACTTAAGTCCCCCCCCCTCAAAGGGACTTAAAGTGACAAGTGTGGTAGCAGGGGCCTGTCAGGTGGTTTCTGGGCTGTTGGAGCTTGAAGCACAGATCCCTTGAGGTGTGAAGCGCCGCAGGACACAGGGAAGGGCCTTTTTGTCACTCGCCTCCCCTCCAAGCCTTCCCTTTTTAGGACTTAAAAAAAAATATGTTCCAGAGCAAGTTGCCAGAACAGAACTTCCCAGCGAGTCGACAATTAGGGATTTGCTTCCAAAAGCAAATGTGCCCTGGCTGCGGCAGCTGTTCCTTAGCAAAAACCCTGGGCCACACGCTGGAAAATGGCAGGGGTTTGTGTGGACCAGGGGAAAAGCCATCTGCTCATCCCTTGGAGGAGTTCACGGGGAAAAGTTCCTCTTTACAAGCTCTCTCTCTCTCTTTACCATGGATATTTTGCATGGGTTGTCCAAATGCGATTGTTTGATAATGAATTGCTATTTATAAGTGTGTATTTTTAGAGACGTGACAAAGTTTACCGCTGGCCCAAGAAGTTCTGCCAGTCGTTAGAGTAGGAAGTTGCAAAATTCAACCCGGGGCTGGTTCTCCCATTAAGGGGATTTAATTTGGAGTGTGATCTGAGCAACTTCACCTTCACTGGTGGTTTTCTCTCCCTTTAACTCCTCTAACGCCTCGGTGCTGGGGGAGCCCGAAGGTCTGGCGTGGGTCTGTGCCCCACTTGCCCGTGGTGAGAAGGCACAGCGGGTCGTTACCACAGCGGGTCGTTACCTCATGTAATTACAGCCCTGCTCTGAATCACAGCCCCGTGCGGGTTCGTTATCTGTGGGTCAGTGATGCTTTAATTGAGCGCCGGGGTACGGCATGTCACAGTCCCCACCTTCCTCCGTCAGGGGGATCCCTCAGGCACCTGAAGAGGAGCCTGTAGCTGTTTGACAGCGTCATCTTCCATGAGCTGTTCGGTGTTATCTAACGGTGAGGTGAGCTCAATGGGGTGGCATCGTCCTCGAGGCTGGGGAGAGGCCACAGCTCCCTCCACCCCCACACTGGGATGTGTCACCCGGCTCTCACGGAGTGGGGTTCTCTTCCAGATGGGGAATGCCGAGGCTGGGCTGCAGGAATACTGTGCTCACCGGCTCTATTTTGTCTAAAGAGCTCGAAACCTTTGAGCTCTGATGGCAAAATGAGTTGGCTGCAGGAGGGAGTGAGTCTTTGGAGCCTGTGAAAATTCAGTTTTTTCTAGTTCATGCTTTAAACCCCAAGTTGGGTTGTCAAGACTGTTGACATCAACCTGAATCTGCCAAGGCTTGGGGTCTCGGTCACCGAATAAATGCAGCATCTTTGACTTTTACACTTTGCTGTGTATTCAGGCATCCTTTAAAACCCCAAGGAGTGCTGTCACACCCAGCAGCCGCTCGCTGCAGGAGGAGGAGGCTTTGAGTCCTCTGTTCCTGAGTTCTCTCTGATCTTCCTGTAGAACTTTTTCATTAATCACAGTAGGAACAGCGATGGCATCGGCTGCCTGCCCTGCTCTGTGATCTGCCGGATCTGGGAGAGTCGGAGGGAAGTCAAACGAGTTCCTGCTGCCGTTGAGCCGGTGCCACTGGAAAGGCCCTTTTTGGGGAGAGCCTCCCACGGCGTTCCTGCGCCGCGGGGTTCCTGGTGGGCTGGAATTCCTGACCCGGCTTCCTTCCAGCCCTGCCCCGACTCCGTTGGCAGCTGCCGGCTCCGGCCCCGGGGAGATGCTTTGCGTTACCAACTGCTGCTGCTTCCAGGGAGCTGGGACAGGAATTCCCCCCCTGCGCTGCCCACCCTCCCCTCGAGGTATCTCTTAAACTGCTGGTGCTTTCACCCCTTGCCTGTTGGCAGAGTGGGAATGAGCAAGGGCTTGTGGCCCACATCGCCCACAGGACGTAGGTCAAGAAGGGCCAAATAGAGGTTTATTTCCCAAACCCCTTGGTGTTCCACATTCCCGGCATTTTATGGTGGATGGAGCTTTGAGGAACATGCTCTGCTGGGAGGTGTCCCTGCCCTGTGGCGGGGGGGTGGAATTTGATCTTCAAGGTCTCTTCCAGCTCTAACCATTCTATGGCTTTGAGGAACGTGCTCTGCTGGGAGGTGTCCCTGCCCCATGGCAGGGGGGGTGGAACTTGATCTTTAAGGTCCCTTCCAACTCTAACCATTCTATAATTTTAGTGGTTTTAATAAGAATGGTGGAGCCACTCTGGGCCTTGCACAATGGCTTTTAGGTGTTTTGCTGGGGCTGTGTTACTGGCAAGCGCAGGTATGCATCAAGAAGAGTGTGACCAGCAGGTCAAGAGAGGTCATCCTGCCCCTCTGCTCTGCCCTGGGGAGGCCCCATCGAGAATGGTGGAGCCACTCTGGGCCTCGCACAGTGGCTTTTAGGTGTTTTGTTGGGGCCGTGTTACCAGCAAGTGCAGGTATACATCAAGAAGAGTGTGACCAGCAGGTCAAGAGAGGTCATCCTGCCCCTCTGCTCTGCCCTGGGGAGGCCCCATCTGGAGCACTGGGACCAGTTCTGGGCTCCCCAGTTCCAGAAGGACAGGGAACTGCTGGAGAGGGGACAGCAGAGGGCTACAGAGATGATGAGGGGCCTGGAGCATCTCTCTTACGAGGAGAAGCTGAGCGACTTGGGTCTTTTTGGTCTAGAAAAGAGAAGGCTGAGGAGGGATCTGATCAATGCCTATAAATACTTCAAGGGCGGGTGTCAGGAGGATGGGGCCAGTCTTTTTTCAGTGGTGCCCAGGGACAGGAGAAGAGGAAATGGGCACAAACTTGAATATTAGAAGTTCCACCTCAACATGAGGAGGAACTTCTGTACTTTGAGGGTGGCAGAGCCTTGGCAGAGGCTGCCCAGGGAGGTGGTGGAGTCTCCATCTCTGGAGACATTCAAACCCACCTGGACACGTTCCTGTGGGACCTGCTCTGGGTGGCCCTGCTCTGGCAGGGGGTTGGACTCGATGCTCTCCAGAGGTCCTTTCCAACCCGCTGTGATTCTGTGTGCAATATCCACGGGGAGGAAATTGCAGCCGTTTATGGGCCGGGGTGGGAACTGGCGTCGAGCGGGCGACAGGGCCGTGTCTGCAGGGAGCCCTTGGCTCTCCCTGCCCCGAGGTTTGTGCTAATACTGACCGTACGTAACGTACCGGGGCCGCTGAGTGACGGGAGACCTTTCTCCAGCTGGGAAGCGCCGCCACCATCTCCTGATGGATGGCAGCGGGAGCTGGGCCAGTTCATCTTAATTTCCCTCCCTGGCTCTCGCTGGCCGTGTTTTTGGGTGTCAGGCACGAGCAGCGTGCGCGGTGGAGCTGCCGGGGATGGTGCTGGTTACTTTACCTTTGCACCGGGTGGGAAGCGTGGAAGGAAGGAGGGGGCAGAGTTTATTCCAGCACGCTGAGGTCAGGCTTGTTTTCCCTCTCCGAGCAGGAACAGACCAGCCCCTGGAGTCGGGTCCCGCCGCTCTGTCAACAGAGGGCTGGTTTCTGCGGAAAGCCAAAGACGGTGTTGTGTTCAGCTGGAAAGTCCTGGGGTTGTTTTGTTCCTGTTCTTTTTTATTTTGTTTTTTTCCCCTGCTGCAAACTGTTCCTTGTGTATTAACTTCCAGTTCAAAAGTCTGATGTTGTTGTTCATCGGGTGCAGCTTTGGGGGCTCCGTGGAGCTGGGATAACGGGGAACCGGAGGAGCCGGGGTGGGAGGCTGCTCCCATGGAGCTGGGCTCCAGCAGCCCCTTCCAGTCCCTAAAGAAGCTCCAGGAAAGCTGGGAGGGGACTCTGGATGAGGGAGGGGAGCCCTAGGATGAGGGGGAAGAGTTTGACCCTGAAAGAGGGAAGATGGAGCTGAGATGTGGGGAAGAACTTGTTTGGTGTGAGGGTGGTGAGAGCCTGGCCCAGGTTGGCCCGAGAAGCTGTGGCTGCCCCATCCCTGGAGGGGTTCAAGGGCAGGTTGGAGGGGGCTTGGAGCAACCTGGTCTCATGGGAGCAAAAAAAAAAAACCCATCAAGTGCATTGGCAAAGTTCAAGGAGGAATAATACAAATAAGAATAAAGAGTGTGTGTGTTGTCATTTCAGGTCGTCACTTCAGTTACAGCTTCAAGGCTTCGTTTAGTCAAAAGGAGGGTTTGATTTTGGGTGGCTTCTCGGTGCTTGAGGCCTCGAGCTCTCTCCTACAGCTCGGAGGCGGTGGCCAATGCAGCAGCTCAGCATTATCAGCTCTCACAGAGCACCAGAGGCACTCCAACAACTGCACATACTTCTCGGGGCCAAGCGAATTGCTATTTCAATCTGCCTGCAATTTCGAAGCCGTAATTATTTTCTCATGCCATGAAATCTCGTAGAGCTGGAAGGCTCGGAAGGGGATGGAGGGGGGGCTGCAGCTGAAGGCTGGCTCAGCGCAGCCTTCGATTTATGGGGACAAATTCATTGTTTTCAGCAATTAGCAGGCTATTGGGGCAATAATCTTCATTCCTTTCCCATGTTCCTGAGGGCATTTTTAACCCGCAGGACCTTTGGGTGCTGCTTTCCCAGCTCCTCCATCCCAGGCGTGCTCCTGCCATGAAATCTCATAGAGCTGGAAGGCTCGGGAGGGGATGGAGGAGGGGCTGCAGCTGAAGGCTGGCTCAGCGCAGCCTTCGATTTATGGGGACAAATTCATTGTTTTCAGCAATTAGCAGGCTATTGGGGCAATAATCTTCATTCCTTTCCCATGTTCCTGAGGGCATTTTTAACCCGCAGGACCTTTGGGTGCTGCTTTCCCAGCTCCTCCATCCCAGGCGTGCTCCTCGCCTGTTCCCCGGGCTGTATTTTGGGAGGGCTGTGCCACCTGCTCGACAAAATCCCCTGAATTTCCATCCCTTTGAGTTTCTTCCTGAATTCTGAGGGGGGAATTGGGCAGCCCTGTGCTGCCCAAGCAGGAATGATCTCCATGAGCCAGGCCCCAGCATTTGCTATTTGGGGCCACAAGGAAGGCTCGGGCTCCTCTCCACCTTCCCTCCCTGTACAGGGCAGGTATATAACATGATATTGGTGAGAATTGCTAGTCTCAAAAAAAAAAAAAAGAAAAAAATTAAATATTGATTTTAAAATGATTGCTTTGGCAAGAGGGCTCTTCCTCACCCTTTGATTTACTGAAATCTGGGGAAGACGGAGGTGAAAGGGGCAAAGGCAAACCACGGCCTAAAGCCCAGCGGAGAGTAAATGACGTAGGTTTTACTCCTTTTTAAAAAAAAAAAAAAAAGAGTAAGTTGTTTGTGTTCAGCCAGTAAGTGGTGAAAACAAGCAGGGTTGGATTTCAGCTCCCATGGGTTCCTGGAACCAATCCCTCGGAGCTGGGCAGGGGGGGACGGGGCTGACGGAGGAGGGTTGAGCAACGTCCTACTGGGAAACGGGAAGGAGCATCCCGACATGTGAGAAAGCTGAGCATGACTTGGTTTTTCTCAGGGTGTTTTTAATGCTTCCTTAAGGCCAGCTCATTCCTAGACCGTGTTTTTTTGTGTTTGTGCTTGTTTCTTGAGAACTGTGCTTGCCAGGATGTCTGTGTTCCGCCAGAGGACTTTGGCTTCTTTTTATTAAAACACTGTTATACAGCATTTTTCCCCCCAAACCACCTCTCCCACCACAGGGGACTTTATGCTCAGCATCTGTTGACTGTAATCCAGAAATTAGACTGCAGTGAAATCGAGAGCAGAAAATATTTAAGTGAACTCTCACTTGAAGCTCTATTTCTCTCCTGTTTCTGATGCCACACGTTCAGTGTCTGAAATGCACGGGGTGACCTCCAGGGCACGCGTCTCAGTTGTAAAAGCAAATAAAAAATGAGTTCCCTGTCAAAAGATATGCTTGGAATCACTGTAAAGTTCAAACAAGTCGATGTTTATTTCAAACCGTACCTGGGACGTTGAGTTCTTTGGAAAACTGTTATGGGTAAAACAGCTGCAGCGAAGGCGGTGCCCTCCTTATTGCGCTAATTATTGAAGTCAATATTGTGATGGTAAAATTGCAGTCAGTGGAGTAAAATATACTATATTCTGAATTATAACTTCATTTATAGTGCCCCGTCTGTTTAGTGTGTCAGTGATGATCTCCTAAATCCCTGTTTCCTTTCCAGAGGGACTCAGACCCAGGATCCCCGGCCTCACACGCGCCCTGCGAGACGGCAGCCGGAACTGCTCCAGCGCAGTAAGAAGGTGAGTGAGAGCAGCTCTGCCCTCGGGGGAACTCGCCGTGTCGTTCTGTTGTTCATTTTCCCTTCCCTTGACGGTGAGGTTTTACCTGTCACGGTGGGGAAACCCCACAGCAGATGCCACCACCATGGTGGTGTTTGCCCGGCTGCGGTGTCTGCTCCTCTGGTGTGACTCCTGGTGCTCTGAGACAAAGGCTGGCCATTGCTGCCTGCCCACGCGGAGCCACGTTCCGCTCGTTTATGTAACAGTAATCCACCTCCTTAATTAGGCAAGGAGATCTCTAGATTCCGAAGACAACGTGTCCCTCTTAGTCAGAAGGCGTGAGGTGTGTGTGGGAGCCAGGGGAAGGCTCTAACTGCTCGAGCTGCGCCATGGAGGTCGGTTTCCTTTTTTATCCGGCCTTTGCTGGGACGTGTGGACGTGTGTATGTGTGTACGTGTGGACGTGTTCCCCCGTGGCACACGGGGAGGAGGTGCTGCAAACCATGGGGTTTTCGTTCTATGTAACAGCAGGTTTGACGTGTTCCCCCGCGGCACACGGGGAGGAGGTGCTGCAAACCATGGGGTTTTCGTTCTATGTAACAGCAGGTTTGCTTGATGGTGGGATAGGAGGTGCTGCAAATGTTGGGTCTTCTCCCTGCCCTCTGAGCAGGACAGTCAAGGCAGAGGCAGGAGATCCCAGCACCTGATCTAAGGTGCATCCCTCACTCGTCCTGCCCCGTTCTCTCTCACCTTTGCCTTTGCGTCGATCCCACTGAAGCTGTTACTTTCTGGGAACCTGTGACGAGGCAAAACCGTAATGATTTCTGTCCGTTCTGCTGAGGACAGCTCTTGTGAATCACCTTGTGTTCCATTAAAATGATTAAATCATCGGTTCCAATCTTCCCTACACAAACAGTCAACACCGAACCATTGTCTGGTAGTGCTGACTAACAAATCCTGGGATTAGTAATCTCCAGTTAATGAAGCAGCGCGGTGATTAAAGCCTCATGACTTTTCTACAGAAGAAATAAGTTCAATATCAGTTGTGCTCTTTTAAATTGCTCTGTGTGATGTCAGAGCACAGAATCAATCAGCAGCGTTGGTCTAACAGTTTTCAAACAGTTTGTCCATTTTGTTGATATTTTTCCCTGTATGCCCCAAATACAGTCTTTAGCTTTGATTTAAACTGAAATGACACCTGTAGCTGTAGTTCACCACCTGCCAAGCCTCACTGGGTAAAGGAGATAGGCCACGTTGGACGGGTAAACTCTAGTGTCCTTGGAGGAAGTGATGGCTTTGGTCTCCTCCAGCTTCCTGGCAGCAGCATCTCACCAGCCTGTTTCCACTGCTTCCTTTCCCAAAATACTTCCTGCAGTTTTTTCACACCTCTTTTTCTTCCACGGTCCCAAACCTTGCACAGACAGCAGTTCCGTGGCACCACGCGCTGTGGTTGGGTCTGGCCATGTCCCATTTGTCCATCCTTGCCCTGCTGGCCACCAGATGCCGACTCTTGGGTGCAGCTGCTTCTATGAAATATTTAGAAATCTTTTCAGAGGCTTTAAAGGAATGATCTGTGTTGCTGCTTGGGACGCTCAGTGGCTGACCGTTTCCCAGCAGGGTACGGGCTGCGGTTCCTGAGCGTTGGTGTCGCCTTTCCCTGGTCACCCCCATCTTCGCAGGGTAATCTTTGGCCCCAGTGTTTTCTGTGGAGCCTCAAAAATCCCTTCGTGCATCAGCAAGTCCTTTTGTGAAATCCTATATTTCCCTTCCCGCGTGTGAAATACCAGCAAGGTGAAGGAACTGGGGCTCGGCGAGACGCTAAACCCCGTGCCCAGAATAGAGGATCTCGCTGACATCCCCCTGTTGTCCTGGAGATGGATTATCTTTAGATCAAGGGTGCTGGGTTTCAAAGCAGAGCAGGAGCGTGTTGCTGGCTTCTATTAGGCATTGGGACTGAAGGGGCAGGAGGCTGAGGGTGTGTTTCCCTGGTTTTTGGGAGGTGTTTGACATCCCCCTTGGGAATTTGGGGACAAGCGGGTCGGGCTGGTCCTGCTTTGGGGCAGATCTGCTGCCATCGCTCGGAGGAGCTGAGATCTCCAAACCCAGTGGTTCTGTGTGTGTCACAGCAAGGCTTCTGGAGGTGGAAACGGTGTTTGCACGTCCACCTTTGTGCCTTTGGGGTGACTTAACCTTCTAAAAATCCAGTTCAGTGGGCAACCTGCCTGCAGTGAGTGGGTCTGAGCTGCAGAGGTCTCTGTTAAGCCACGCTTAAGCCTTTGGAGTATTTTGAAATTGGAAAGCTGTTGTTAGGCGGCGGCCTGTTCTCATTAAATAATGTCTGTGCATTTTAATAAAATACTGTCACGCCACCAGTGCTTTAACTGCAGCTCCAGCACGGCAGAGGGGGGGCACAGAGGGGACACCCAGCCTTCCAGCTCTCCCTGCAGCTCTTGGAGGACTCAGCCAGGGTTTGCGAGGAGGAAGAGGAGGATGAGGGTGGCTTTTCTGGCTGTTCTCAGCTCTGAGCCCAGCTCTGCAGAGGAGGAGGATGATGATGATGGCTTTTCAGGCCACACTCAGGGCTGAGCATCCCCGGTGCAGAGATGAGCACAAGCAGTGAGGTGGCCATCCCCATGGTGGGTGACAGCAGATGGCAGCACCCTGCCCTGCTCTGGGTGTTATTTCTGGCTGGGAGGGAGATTCCACCGGTCCCCTGGATTCACCACCACAGTCTAGACTTACTGACAGACAGGATTCTTCCCCCGTTAGGTAAGCAAGACGGAGACGCCCATTATGCAAATTCCCAGCCAGAGTGTCCCTCTGTAACATTTTTCAAATTGTCTAAATAAGGTGCTGTTTCATACCAAAATTTGTAAGGAGGCTTTTGGGTGGCTTTCAGCCTCCTTGCCCTCTAGGCAGGATTTTTTTTTTTTTTTTTTTTTTCCCCCCTTGGAGATCTCTAATCGACACAACCCGGGTGTTTTTTCGCCCTCAGCAGCTGTTCCAGATGTGGGACTGCAGGGGAAGGCTGGCTGCAGAAAGAGCTACCACTGTTCAAATCAAAACTTCAGGGCCAGAAGCTCTTGTCCCTGTCCCTGCAGGGCTGTCCTGACAAGCACCTCCGTGGATTCTATGAAATACAACGTCATTGCACAGACTCAACGTGTGTGTGTTGGTTTCTGGGCACTATGAAGTGTTCATCCTGGGGGGGGAGAAGGGTTGGGGGGACCCGTGGGGCTGGCAGAGGTGTTGCCCAGCTCCGTGGCTCCTGTGACTCACCCCCTTCGTGCCCGTGGCTGGAGGAGGTGGGAATCGATCGTGACTGAGTGTCCAGAGCGGCTGGAAGTGTCTGTGGTGTTTTCACTCTTTTCTTTGTTTTTTAAAGATAAATTAAATTAACCTTTCAGGCCTGATAACCACCACCCTGCCCCTGCAGCTGGGGATCAGGGAGGCTCGTGTCGTGTCCTTGGTGTAGGAGCACTGATTTCTGAGCGCTTGGTATTTCTGCGAATGTTTTACGGTGTGGTTCTGCAGCAGCTCTGTGTCCTCCTGGAGTCATTCCAGTCCCTCCAAACCTCGGAGCCCAGGGTTTGACACAGAGCTCCGGGAAGGCTGTAAGGAGGTGCTGGTTGGGGTCAGGGGCTGGCAGGCCACCAAGGAGGCAGGTTTTTCCAGTCGCCGTCCGTACCGCGCGGGGATCGCGGCTCTTCTCCGGAAAACATTGGAAGGTTTCCTGCTCTTGAACTCGCTGCACGGGCACGTGATTTTCTGGGAATTAGCTTGAACGCGCTGCAGAAGGGTTCAGAAATACCTACGTGCACTAATATTGGATAATGGAAAAAACAAGTTCCAGCAGGGGGTTCTTTCAGTTTTCTTCACGGTGGCCCTTTGGCCGGCCCTGGTGGCTGCTCCGCACCGGAGCTGCCAGCTTTGATGATGCTTCTGCTTCTTACCTAAGAGGAGAAAAACGTCTGTATTTTTTTAAAATTGCGACGTTACTCCTGTTCTACTGAGCGTGTTGTTTGTTTTAGGGCATAGTTAATGCTTTAAATAATTTATTTAGCTATTTTCAGGGGAAACAATAACACGCTGTACCCTGCGGTGGCTGCAAAGCTGCAATGTTCTGGCTGATGTTGACAGCCAGGGCAAGGACTTTGTCCTCGGCTGCCCGGACTCTCCCTTCCCGTCATATGGGCCGTGATCCCATGGGAATTGGGGTCCTTCAGCCTCCTCTGCAGCCCCCCGTTACTGGAGGGGGGGGCACACACACACTTGTGATACCGTCTCCCATCGGATTCTTCCCGGTGCTTCTGTGCTCTGGGTGCAACCTGCAGGAGTTAAACCTGGCAGCGTTATATAAACCAGCCCTGGTGCTTTCTCATTTTGAAAGTGTATTTTAACATTTCTGCTCCCCGATGGGAGATAATGAGAAAG